GAAAATAGTTGTTTTCCCAGGTACAAAACATTAAATAAAATTGGTGTTTATTGGGTAAAATGTATTAATTTTGAAATTTGTATTGCTGATCTGTCTTTCCACAATATATCTTACTTGCTGTTTTAACAAATAGTTAATTTTCATAGCTATTTTAATATTAGAACTTGTTGGCTCAAGGATTTATACAAATCCTTTAAGTGTTTAAATTGAGCAAATCATTGCCAAAAAGTAGAGGTCTGTTCTTGCAGCACTGTCTTAGTAGTACAGTTATTAACAGTTGCACCCCTACCCTTGCCCTTGCCCCCTCCAGATGCAGCGTGGCAAATGGGCTGCCGAGCAAGTGATCTCTGGTTATTGAATTTGGATTGCCAGTCATTTTGGAAGTACTCTGGTGGGCTAAACTACCATGCCCTTCACTCCAACCACTCCTCTTACTTCCTCTTGTTTTCCTGAACCTCTCTCCTTTAAAGCCATATGCTGCCCATAACCCTAGCTACTACAAAGGGAAACTGAACCGAAAGAAACACTCCGAGTCTACACATCTCAATCTTGTTCTTGTCCACAGCTGTGAAATGGTTTACTCTGAAATGCATGACCTCTCTTAGCTTGTATTGTTTTCTAATCTGTTTATCACAGTTAAGTTCAGACTTGCAAGTCGATCCTTACATGATACTGTTTTACGTTTTGTGCAACTTAATAAGCTTGGAGTCAATATCAAATTAAAATAGACCTTTTTTTACTTCCTTAGCACACATTCCTGGTCTTATCATAAACAATTAGAGTTAAGTATAAAGTAGAAGTATTAAGATATTTAATCAAAATATAGTAATCACCTGATATGATTTTCCTTATCAACTGACATCACCAATCCCTTTTGTTTTTCACGATCCAATCAATTCCTGATGGATAGAAACAGGAAATGTGATGAGAAGAAATGCATTAAAGGGATGGTTAGGGTCCAAACTGCTCCACGACTTAGTTATTGTGTCTATTTTTGAGAAAAGCCACTGAGACTGTACACATGTACATTTTTCCTTCTTCGCACCTTAGTCTCAAAGTTTCCTGTTTCACCTTTTCCAGTTTGCCACCCATCACCCAATGTTATTACAGTGTCTGCATGCTTTGAGTAATTTCTCTGAGTGACCTTATTGTTTTGTGCCCCTACAGCTCCCAGTATGATGTCACTCCGACAACGGCACATTGACCCGCAGCTGTCCCTGGGTTCGCAGAGGTTGGTAGAGAGTTGCCTCGCACTTGGTGGGCAGGAAGGGGAGGGTAGCTTGTACTCGTCCAGGTCTAGGACGGTGCTACGCCAGGCACGCAGCCAATCCTTTGGGCAGTTTGACTCTCTGGGACTGCCTCCTCTTTCCTCAGCAGTGTCTCATCCTGCTATCTACTCCGCTGCCTCATCCCACGCTCCCCACTGCTCTTCCGTCGCTACTGTCCCTCATGCATCCCACTATCACTCTTCACATTTCCTGCCTATGGACACCATCCCAGACCTCCCCTATGATGCCAGCCCAGAGCGCCCCCGCCATTGCGGCAGCGATGGGTATCACTTCATTCTGTTGTGCTTGATTTGTGCTTCTCACCTGGCATGATCCTGGCATTTAGTCCAAAACATTTAACAGGACCACTTTCACACTTTCTGGTGAACCACTACTTGTGGGGTTTGTTGCTGTAATTGGCTATACTCACTACAGTTCATGACACTGTGACTTGCAACTTGGCTGTGCAACTTCCTGTGACGTTCTACCTCGTTGCTTAATCTGTTTTTGCAATGTTTGTCCCCTACTTTGAACCAATTCTCACACCTGCATGCCTGAATTGACCATGTTGTGCAGGGGTGGCTAACATCCTGCAGAGTGTAGCTCAGGGCTCTTCAACTCCAGTCCTGGAGTGCCAGGGTCCTGCAGACTTTACTTTCAACTTTAATTAAACTGGGACTGGATTTGGACTTGGACTTGAAGAGTCTTAGTTAGCTTGAACTTACCCCAATGCACCTGCCTGGAAGTTTCTAAAAGTGCTGAAGACCTTGATTAGCTTGTTCACGTGTGCTTATTTGGGATTGGTGCTAAACTCTGCAGGACAGTGGCCTTCCAGGAGCAGGACTGGACACCCTTGATGTTGGGTGTCTCTATGTTAGGGTTGAGGCTAGAAGGGATACAGCTACGGGCACCAGGGCTTACTGGGCATGCGCACATCGATATTGCATCATTTTTATCATGCTGAACAACAATTACTGTATTTGCATTATTGTAAGGGTAGGTTTAGGGTTTGGGTAGGTGTAGATGTTAATAAAACAATGTGATAGGTGGCAAATTTAATTTATTTTATGGTGAGATTTTGCATCACTTCCTGCCATAGCTGTATCCCTTCTAGCCACAACCCTATATCAGGGCTGTCCAATCCTGTTCCTGGAGGACCACCTTCTTGTAGAGTTTAGGTCCAACATGCACCAGTACATCTGCTTGAAAGCAGGAGCAGACTTGGACACCCCTGCTCTGTTAGCTTGTACTTTTCTAGCACTGAGTCGTTAAGCCTTGGCATGTTGTGCTTCAGTTTAGACAACATTGGAAGGTTGGAAATGTTGCTTTTATTGCGGGCTTAACTCGAAGTTCAGGTAGCAGTAAATGCAGTGTCGCCTTACATATAGCCAGCATGTTGTCTTGGTTATTTAGGATTAGTCTGCTATCTCACTCATTTCTTGATGCTAATTTCTCTATTTTCATTCACAGGGACTTGAATCGCTCCGACTCTGATTCCTCCTTGTGTATATCCCAGACTGGCGAGCAGCTACGCCTGTCCTACAGTTCCAAAGGCTTCCCTGTGAAGCCCACTTCGCTCCTGCATGGCCCCCATTCACGCTCTGAAGAGGGAGCTCACTCCCACACCCACAACGGAGGCAACAGAGTTCACGATGGGGGGGCATCTCCCGATGGAGGTTCTGATAGTCCCATATTAATGAAGAAGGTGTATGGCATAGAGAAATCCGCCAGTATGAGCGAGATCCACGGCTCCCAAGCGGTGATGTCCATGTCGGAATCCTCACGCTCCTTAAGCCCAAACTCCACTGAACCCGATACGCCGTCCCCGACTGGACTGACTGGGGGGAAGGCCGGAAACCGCATACCCCAGATCTCCTCGAAAAAGAGCCCCCTAGAGGAGGACAGTGGCTCCACAGGTGAAGACACTGACTCTGCTGCCAGTCGCAAGAAACATACCTTCAAGATCTTCAAAAAACAGAAGAAATAAGACAACTGTTTTGTTTTCCCCTTACAGTTCTTTTTGTCGTGTTGTTAATATAAATGTTTATTTTTTTCCCCCTTCTGGTCAGAAGTTACGGCACCACCAGACACCTTTCCGAGGTCTTTATAGAAATGTTTGCTTTTTCAGAGGAACACTTGGGAACAAGCATGATTTTGGGGGAGGGTGGGAATGGGATGGACTATTTTTTGGGAACACATTACTTATTCAGCAGGAGACAGTGCCAGACTTTCAAAGGAATCTTCCCTCTGATGGACTTTTCTTTCCTTGTATAATCCGTATCAGTTTGCATGTCTTCGCCTTTGTTTGATTGAACTTTGAATGCTCCTAGATGTTTGCTTGGTTCTTGTTCCCCTTTGCTTAAAACGCGAAACAGCCTGTTTCTTTCGTTTCTATCTGCACACTCCTTTGTCTTTCAAGTTAAAATGAATTGTCAGCTGAACGTTTAATGGTACTCTTCGATAAGTGTTTGTCAATGGTCAGAGAAACTGTAAAAGGGCTGAACTATCAGTGTGAAACTCCCCTAAAATATGTTGCACTATTTCTAAATGTTGATGTGTCGGTTTTGTAAAGAAAATTTAGAATATGCTGGAATTTACACAAACCAAGACACTGAACGTATCTCTAAGGTTTCAGGGATTTCTAGTATGGTGAAGAATTACGCGATTAGAATAATTGATCATTGTCGATAATTCCAAATCATTTAGAAAATACAAGGTGGTTTATGAACATGCACATTAATGTTTTTTGAGCATTTACGCTTAACCATGCCCTGTTCGCTGACTGTTTCTAATGACATCATCCAAACAAGTTCCCAAGAAAACACAAGAAATAAAATGTAAGGTGAATGCATACCTTAATTTGTTCAAATTACACAGAGTAATTACAGCTTTAGCAGATCTTGCCATCTTCAAAGTGCCAAACTAAAGTCACCGTCTAGAAAATGTATATACTTCCCGAAGGTTATATTTCAGTTTTGTTAGACCACTGATCTGAGATCTGATCTTAAATAGGTTTTCTATAGAGGTGCAGATTGTCCAAATTGTGGTGGAAGGGTGGGGTGTCTACATTTACTACTTCTGACATGTTTGAAAGAGAGATTGGATATATTCTGTTCTGCTGAATTAGGTCATATTCCTTTGACCCACAAAAATTAAAATCCTAGATTTCAGGTGCTCTTTTATATAATTTTAAGGCCACACGCAATTGCTGTTATAATGGAGTGACTTGCCTTTAAATGGTCAGATGTTCGGGCAGATGGATTTTACCACTGCATTTTCAGAGGAAGTGGAGACCAGTCTCTCGTCTTCTTATGGTTTACATGATGTTCACTAAGATACATGTCTTTTATCCCAGAGCACTGAAAATTACAAGCACACTTTCTGAAAAGAGAGGGGATTAAGAATCAAAAGGCTTGGTGAGGGATGTCACTATGCATTTTTATAGTTTTTACCCACAGGCTTTGAAGGTCCAACGTATACCTGGAGGCAAACCAAAGCAGCGCTGCACGAAACATCGCCTGTTTCTATAATTTCTTTTGTGAAAGATGGTACAAGACCACATCCAAATGTATATCAACCAGTCAGTCTTTAACAGGTATACAACTGTGCAGATGTATTTGTTTCATCTGTACCTCTTTTGCACGAAGCTCTTGTCAGTGTGCGCGCGTCAGTCCAGTCCAGTAAACTGCACGTCACTGTGTTGATGCATGTTCTCAACACCAGTTCTCAAACATGGACAGGGGAGAGATGGGAGCTGTTTTAGACTCTGTTCCCCATTTAGATATTCCTGTTCACTTCTCCATTTTAGCTATTTATGCCTATACTGTACAGAGAGGTGGAGAGACAAAGTAAAAAATATAATTTTGCATCTTCTGTAATGTTCAAAACTGTAGTCTTCAAATTCTATGGCACTCCTGCATGAAAGCAATAAAAATGGTTTTAAAAGACTGAGATTTCCATTATTCCATATTGTTTTTTCCCTATTAACATATGCAGTAGCCCCTCAAAATTTTATACTATCTATCTATCTCAATCCATCGATCGGTAGATAGATCTGTTTGCAATGTCACATATGTAAATATGTACATTATTTATGTATTTATATGAATAGGGGGACACGTGTAGAAACACTTTATTACCCAGAATGCTGTTACCTACTGAATTTCAATGCCACTTGCTGTTATTCCAATTCAACTTCCTGTGGGTGTGGCTAATTTAATAAAAAATAACTTGAAACTGAGCTAATTCTGAAATGCACAGCATTCATTGGCATATCTGCGCAGGGCACAGTTATAGCATAATTTTAAAACTGCATTGGGTGTTTATTAATATATTACACATGTACTTGAAGCCTCACTTGTACATTCCAATGCTAATTGCAGTTGTCCAGCATCTTATACAGCGCTTAACCTGAGAGTAATTATTCATGAGCTATGCAAGATTTGCGTTAAACTCCTCCGTTCTGTTTGCTTAAACACTTACACCTGCAGCTCAAACAGGATGTTATTCCGGGCCTGTTGGCGTGCTTGGGTGGCTGCTTTGGCATTTGATCACATGAAATCCTGCTCTGCAACGGTCCTTGATGCGGCTGTGGTGCAACAAGTAAAATTGCAATACAATACAATGATTGCCTTTTTTGGGTGTTTTTATTTGCAAGTTTAATCATAAAAAGTGCATGTAATAGGCCTACATTTTTCTCACAAGTTTTCACTCTGTTCTTTTAAGAGGTGGCATCGCTTCTTTCCACAATTTATGCTTCTACTGGTGAATGTTACAGCATCATCAAAACCCTCCAGCCATTCAGAAAGGAAGTTTTGGAAGGGCTGAGAGTCAAATCCATCTATTATCCCTGGTGAGAGCTTCTGCATTTGTACTTATTTGGCAGCAAAGCTTATTTTAAATCACAGAATAACTTTGATTCATGGTTTGGACTTTGCTATTTCGTTTTGGGTTTTGGTGGAGAAACCTTGCAGTAACCATTTGTGTGGACTTCTGCTCCACAATATTGACGCTGAAAATAATTATGCCACTCCTACAATATTCCTCACTGACACTGGTAAGGCTGTGAACCGCTCAGACCACTTTCACTCATTTCTGTTTTTTATCACTTACAGAATTCACTTTTGTCCAATTCGTTCAGGTAAGATTCATGCCCAGGTGCATGGAGTTCTGGTGTTCTGACAAATAATGATACCTATCAGATTATGCTACCAACACTGTATTTATCCTACTGTAAGGGTAGGTTTAGGGTTGGGGTAGGTGTACATGTTAATAAAGCCTCACACCTTATTAATATCATGCTGGAAGCAAAATCTGATAGGTAGCACTTTTCGCTATTGAATTATGCTACCATCTGTTTTAATGGGAGGTAGCAAAATCTGACAGGGTAGCACAAATCGTCAGAACACCGGTCACTCATCAGCATTCCTTTCACCTTTTAAGGTTCCTCTTTATCAGTGGTGTCATATCAGCCTGGAGATTCTGGGGCGTGTGGTGAGAGAGACTAGTATTTGGACTCATACATGTTTAATGATCTCATATCATTGCATGATAGGTTGGTGCACAAAGGCCACAGGTTTGGTTCTCAGATTGGGAGTTTTAGAACGTGCTTATTTTTAAAGAAACTTACAGTTTGAGACATCCCATAGGCTCCAATGGATTTATAATGTAGATATGTATGAGAAAATGTTAGCAAATAAATAAAGGCGCATTTACAATGAGAAATTGTGGAAAGCAGCATGAGAATGAAACTGGAGCCAAACTTTGTTGTTTATTTATTTATTTGTAATAATTTTAAAAATCCAAGTGGGTAGTATATTTAAAAAAAATAATCGTATTTTATGCATATGAAAAAAGAATATAGCTACGGCATTTTTTCAAATATAATGCAGCATTTATTCCAGAACATGTTGAAATGAAAACATATTTCTGTATGCATGTAAATATTTATTTGGTTTAAAGTGGGCCTAAACAAAATGTCTGATAAATATTGCATTTGAGCACAGAAGTGGCCTGGCTTGTTGGCAAATGAGATGCAATATTTGGCAGCACAGACTTTTGCCCATATAATTTGTGGCTAAGGGAAATGCTCAGTTACAATAATATGCATACACTTCTGTAGTTTTATTCAATGTTCTAGTGCAAATTGATCCAGTTTTGAAACTCATGTTCTCATATTTCCCTCTCCTGTAGGTGAAAATTTCTATTGCATGTATGGAAGGACAGCAGAAATTTGTTAGCACAGCTGAGCACATGTAAGAATCTTCATTTAAAGCAGTAAAACGTAAATGTCACTATCGTTGCTTTAAGAAAGCACTGCTGTTTTGGGCAGATTTGGCAAGAACGTCATGTTGGATGACACACATGGCTATTTTGTGAATGGTGGAGGTAAATTCATACGAGGCATTGAAGGATATTATGGACCAGCTACATACTATCGTATACAGGGGCTCCCAGCTGACCAGGAAGGATACGGTAGGATTTTGTAATATTGTGTTATTATAAATTTATATTTAGTATATGCATTCACTGGGAATCAATCCTATGGTTTTGGCATTGCTCAATATAAATTCGGACTAAGCATAGTGATATTTTACGTCTTCACAGGCTAAGATTCACCTTCCTCCTGTAATATCAAAAATGAACATAACCGGATGGCTCCAGTCTTGAGAATGCAAAAGCATTTTCCTCCCATCTCATTTTTTCCATCACCAAGTCCCATTAGAGGCTCTGTAAACTTCATCCTGCATTTATAGGGGATAAATACAATTTCAGTTTCCAGTTTTAATACAGGATTTAGAGATACAAATGAGGCTTTGAGACACAGCAAAACATTGAAAATGTCTTTTTGTCTGAATGTGCTGCATTTCCTTTACAGCTAATTTGGTATCAAATTTAAGACCTATTGAAGGTCATTATGAAATTAAATTCGCATAAAAACTCTTACATGTAACCCTTAAATTTAATGATTTGTTGTTCAAAGCAATTTCAACGGCTGTCTGAATAACATTTCATCTTCTCCGCAGACTTTTGTTGAGTTAATACGTTAAGGCCCAAACCAATGAAAATGATGATCTGTTTCACTGGCCAAAGCTGCAGGCTAGAAGTGGAGTGGCTGAAGCCGAGGTACTAAAACTCGCATCCAGCAAAAAAAATAAATAAATAAAATGCACAGAATGTTCAATTTTTATGTTATTCCACTGTACTAATATATTAAGTTGTGATAGAATTAAATATTACAGTTCAAAAATAACAGTTTTCCATTTTAATATATTTTAAAATGTAATTTATTTACAGAAATCATTCTATGCTGATTTTGTCGCAAAATAAGTATTTCTTATGATGTGTATTAATGTTGAAAACAGTTGTGCTGATTAATATTTCTGACCCCAAATTTTTAAATGGTAGTTTTATTTAATTATACATTTTTCTTTAGCAAGCAATGGGACGTATGTTATTCTGGGGTCAGCAAGGAGTGTCTCCAGACATTCAGACAGCAGTGAAACACTATGAGAGAGGGGCCAACAAACTCCATGACCCTGTGTCCATGTACAACTACGCCATTGTGCTCCTTACGGTCAGGATCCTTTGTGTCTTTGCTCTTATATGCAATCCTGAATCATTGATTCTGATGTTTCATTGTGCCATGGTTAATAAAGAATATCTGATGTGGCCAGCAGAGGGCAGTCTTGCAAAGCATTTGAAGTGAATATTGCTTAAGAGAAAGGTTAGAGGAGATCAATCATATTAAAGATCATATTATCTTGTATTAACAGGGCCAAGGAATTCCAAAAGATGTTCAGAGAGCTGTGATATTCCCGAAGAAAGCAATAGATCAGGTACATCTAGCAAGTTTTGCATAAATATTTGTTTAAAACCAGGGGTTTTTAAACTGGGGTAAGGGCTGGAAGGTTGTGTTAGGGGGTTTGTTTTAAATAATATTTTACATAATAAAGGTCTTTATACATATATAGTTGCCTTTTAAATTTTTATGACTAGATTTCTCATATGTGGATGGTAATATTTGTGGATTTTTAGAGACTGAACACCTCTAGTTCAGTCCTCGTGTATATGATTGTTTATGGTTTATTTTTGTTAATTACCTCTCATCTTGAAGTATTTTGGCTTTAATACTTATGAGGTAACAAATAAACATAGTTTGATTATTGAATGCAAGTGCAAACGCTGTTAATTTATGTAACTGATTTAGTGGATGCTCATCTATTTCATTGTTTTTACTTACATATTGACTGTTTTCCACTCAATCCACGACCTGTAAGTGATTTTTACATCCCGCAGGGGTCCGTTCCCGCTGTCACTGCTCTGGGCTGGTACTATGAGCAGTATGAGAAGGATTACGAGAAGGCCGTACATCTGTGGGAAGAAGCTGATGACAAAGGGCACCCTGAAGCTGCCATGAATCTGGGAGTTTTCTACTCTCAGGGCCTCAATCCTGGACAACCTGCCGACCAGGTAAACACTCACATGCTTATGTGCTTTAAACCTCTTATTAACCTAATAAAGAGTTTCTTTAACTATGACTTTGCTTGTTCATCAGTTTAAGGCATATAAGTACTATTTAAAGTTTTTTTATGTAGATATAAAACCAAGCTTTATCAACCCTTCACGAGCATCATGCAACTTATCGTATTTGGTTCAAAAATCTGAGTGTGCACATGTTCACTTAGTGTAAATGGGCATGATGCCCCTGCTATCCAAAATCCCCTAGTTGTTAAAAAGATTCAGTATTTCTTCTGTGGCGGCACCCTGAAGCTGCCATGAATCTGGGAGTTTTCTACTCTCAGGGCCTCAATCCTGGACAACCTGCCGACCAGGTAAACACTCACATGCTTATGTGCTTTAAACCTCTTATTAACCTAATAAAGAGTTTCTTTAACTATGACTTTGCTTGTTCATCAGTTTAAGGCATATAAGTACTATTTAAAGTCAGCCCAGAGAGGACACTTACATGGTGGCATTGAGCTGGCTGATATTTGGATTCATGGGATTCTCGGCCAAGGATATCTGGGAACAGTCTTGAGGAACGGACTGAATGCCTATTTCAAAGGAGACTGGTAAACCTTTCAGTTTGAGTGGCCACAGAGTTATATTAATCTAGAATTCTCATAATATTAAATTACAACATGAATGTCCTTTTAGATTTCATTTACATTATAAAAGGATGTTGCAAAATTTTGTCCTCTCTCTCTCTCTCTCTCTCTCTCATTGTTGCAGGATCATGTCTTTGATTTATTATCTGAGTGCTGCAGAGAGTGGATTTGAAGCAGCTCAGTTTAATGTGGCATACCTGTGTGAGTCCATTCTAAACACGTGCTTTAGATTCAGATGAACATGTTCACTCGATTGGCTTTGACAGATATTTTATATCTCTTTGGATCCAGCGCTGGTGACATGTTAAGATACTATAACATGTCGATAAAGGCTCAAGATCCGGCTCCGTACGGTAATTTCAACAAATCTAAGACTAAAATATGAATTAAAATGGTAGTAAAAAATTTATTGTATATCCCTTTTTTAAATAAAAAAGTTATAACAAATATAAAATGTAAAGAACTTTATAGGAAAGTATTTTTGTTTATTTTATTTTTTTTCAAATACATATTTTTATGAATTGAATGGGAAAAGCAATTAATTAATTTTTTTATTTATTTTTATATTTGTATTTGTATTATTTTTTTTCATTTTATTTACTTCTAGTTTAAAATTTTCGATTTTCATGTTAGGGTCTAATCTTTTATATTACATCTGAAAAGGTTGACAAATGCTGCAGTAGAATATAACATTAATGTAATTTAATGTGGGATACAGAGTGGCAGTCATATATCTTCATAGTCAACTGAAATGCTCGTCATGAAGGGCACCTGAGGTTTGACTCGATGTCCTGCATCAGTACGTGTGCTCTTTCTCAAGCTCCCTGTAGCTTAAGCTGGAGTCTCTGCATGTGGTGATGGATGTCTGTTTCCCTCTCAGCTTTGATCAGAATGGGAGATCTGTTCTATGGTGAACAGGCTTTGGGCACAAAAGAGTTTTTTGATGCAGCAGAGATGTACAAGCAAACAGATGGACTGAAGTCTAACTTTGAATGATCAGGAATCGTAATTATTTAATAAATGAGTAATCTCAAGTCATTATTTGAAAAAAAAATTAAACATAAGCTAAGTCATTTATTTGTTTGTTGAACAATGTATGTTTGTTTATTTGTTTAGTTATTCTGACAAGCTATATTTATTTGTTTTTGTTCTAACAAGCTTTGTCTTAGTTTGTTAGTTTTTGTTTGTTTCTGTTTATTTGTTCTAACAAGTGATATTTGTTTCTTTTAAAAACGGTGTAGTTAATTTGTTCTTTAAAGCTCTTTTGTTTGCTAAAACAAACTTTTATTTCTTCTAGCAAGCTGTGTTTGTTCTAAAAGATTTGCTTGTTTATTTTTATTTGTTCTAACAAGTATTTGAATGTTTTATTTGTGATTTTTCTACAAGCGATATTTTGTTCTAATGGACAATTTGCATTTGTTCTAATAGGATTTTAATTTATTTTATTTCGTTTTTCTTTGTCTTTTTTATTTATTTTTGTATTATTGTTTTGTTTTTTTAATTTCAATGAATTCAGATTTGATTTCCTGTCTCCTCAGGGTTGGTATAATCTTGGCCTGCTTGTCCAAAATGGAGAGTCTCTGCCGTTCGGTGTGCTTTCTGAGCTCAGTTTGCTCCACCTTCACTTGACAGACAGACAGAAGCTTCTCAGCACCCTGTACCAAAGGTAAGACAACACCACAATCATGAAACATTCAGACTGCCATTATCCACTTCAGATGGCTCAGTTGTACTGTTCTAACAACCTATTACAGCATGGCTCTTTTTCTCCCCCTTTTCCGTAGATGTGGAGAGACCAATAGCACTGATGCCTACCTGCCCTGCACACTGGCACTGTTCAGCGCACACCTGCAATCTTTACAACTACATCAGGATACTGCCATAAAGGTCAGTTTATTTTTGTCTTTAAAGTAGAAATATTGACTTTTGGATTTCTGGACCAAAAGCGTACTGTAGCATGGACAATTTAATGTAATTATAAAGCAAGCAAGCAAGTCAGTCAACAACAAAAAAGAAAAAAAGAAAAAAAACAGCCTAAATTAACTCCTTGTTGTTTAATTTGTTTAATAGTGTATAATTGCATGATCGCCTCATGGGGAAGCTCCTGTGGTTACTGTGTTAACATAATAATGATTTGTCTCTGGGACTGTCTAATAATGAGGGACACATTTTCACAAGCAGATGTTTTCTCTGTTCCTGTATCTCATTGCCACAGTTTCGGCAGCAGTTGGAACTCTGTATTTTGTAGTGCTGTCAAACGATTAATCGTGATTAATCGCATCCAAAATAAACGTTTTTTTTTTTGTATTTATATATACATAATAAATATACACAGAACACACGCATATTTTATATAAACAAAAACTTGTATATAAACGATTAATTGCGATTAATCGCTTGACCGCACTACTCGTTTGTATTCAGACTAATTAAATGGAGGACAATGCCACTCCACGAAACATCCCAAACATCTGCTTCCAGCCAAACCCGAGGAGGAATCATAAAGAAATCTACCACATAACTTTAACTACTTCATAACTTAATTATTTTTTAAACAATTCCCAGTATTGTATATGGTTTTCCTCCATGTAAAGCCTTTGTTTACTGTTTTTAATAGGAATAATTTTTAACCCTAATTTTTGTGCTAAGATATACAAAATCAAGTATAACTTGAAATTTCATGTAAAAGAAGCACATAACATTTAACTACATAATTCTTTTAAAATAAAGCAAAATACATTCAATTTCTATTCAGGTGGAAGGGATAGTTCACCCAAAAATGAAAATCCTGTCATTTGCTCACCATCAAGTTGTTCCAAACCTGTATGAGTTTCTTTCTCCTGTTGAACATAAAAGAAGGTATTTTGAAGAATGTTGGTAACAAATCAGTTGATGGTAGCCATTGACTACCATGTAAACAAATACTATGGAAGTCAATGGCAACTGTCAACTGCTGTTGCCAACATCCTTCAAAATATCTTCTTTTGTGTTCAACAAAAAGAAGCTCATACAGGTCTGGAACAACTTGAGGGTGAGCAAATGACGACAGAATTTTTGTTTCTTTTTGGTGAACTATCCCTTTAAACTAAATAATGTGAGTGAATTTCGATCCTTTTTCTACAAGTACTTTTAAAATGGTTACATTTTAAGATGTTTTTCTCTCTCATTTTTGTCACTTAAATCATTAGCGTTTCAAAAAATGACAAGTAAAATAAACAGTTCTGAATAAAGTAATATTTTTACATTTAATTCCTGTTTCCGGCTTCTTGTTTCTGACGTGTAATTTCTTCTGAGAGTTCTGGCTGTACCACTTCGGTGTCTCAAGGCAAACTAATTTTTCCCTCTCTTGGAGGTACGGTGTCCCAGCAGGGCCATTCTGCCTGTGTCTAATGAAAGAGTGCGAGGACTCCCCAGGCTTCTGTGCAGACTGATGCAAACAGCAGGTGTGATGTGCCCATGGCCACACCGGGGCCCCGGGAACACACACCGCAGCTCATGCTTAATTAAAATACCAAAAGCAGACTAATCCTCAGACAGAGGGAGTGCACCCCACTGTGTCAAGTGTCCAATCATCAGGGGACGGTAATCTTACTGCGTTTACATTCAAATAATGTGATGCTTTCTGTGAGACCCCCATTCTGGTGCCTCGTCATGATTTATGCATTTTGTTTGTGCGCTTGGGCTAACTTACAATATACCTAATGTAAAGATATTTTATTAAATAGTTTTTCTAAATTGTTCAGGGAATATGTTGGACTAGGCACACCATTCAATCAATGTAATAGCTAAAGAAACAAGTTTTTAAAGTCTTCAGTCATAGTGAAAAATTGCCTCTGAGCTGTCTTTCTCCCCGGCTGGCTTTTATATATAATTGCTGAACTTTAGATGATGTTTATGACTTTAAAAGGCACCAGAGGAGTTTGAGATATTTGGGACTTTCAGTACAAAATAGGGCTTGCAAGTCTGATGTGTAAGTCAAAGTAAGTGAAAGGAGGTGCTTAGCCTTTCAAGTATGTTTTTCATCCATCCCAGGAATTCAAACTAAATGTTAGCTTTATTATTATTATTTTGCATTAGCAAATGTTGCTTTGCACGGTAGTTATGATGAACTTTTCCAAACGTTTTTAAAAATATATTTGTTTGATCACTTCTTTTTTTTTTTTACATTAAGATTGTATCGGAATTTAAAGGGAGGAAAACAGACATTTAATGTGAACTAGCAACTTTTCAAACATTAATTTTAAGTATGATACTAGTTTATTTAATAGATCTAATAGTTTATAGTTGTTTTGAAGTATACTTTTGTTAACTTTTTTTTTTTACATTAAGATTGTATCGGAATTTAAAGGGAGGAAAACAGACATTTGATGTGAACTAGCAACTTTTCAAACATTAATTTTAAGTAAGATACTAGTTTATTTAATAGATCTAATAGGGATCTTACTAATTGGGATCTTACTGATCCCAAACTGAAAGTTTGGGATCAGTAAGATTTTTAAATAAATTAATATTTAATATTAGTTATTTAGTGAAAGTACATGATTAAAACTGACAGTAAAGGTGTGACCGGTGTAATCTGCCTCTCCCGGGTCCTCACCGCCACACCTCGTTCTCGCTCCGAGTGGGTCTCCGGACGCACTAACAAGGAGGCTAAAGACTGCAGCCTCTAGCGCATCTCTTTAGATCAGGGGAGTGAGGTTTACCTGCACAGCACTTATTCGCTGGCCTCCGTTACACTCACCACCCCCCTAAACCTCACTACCATCCGGGTCACGGCACCACGTGTGACCGGTGTAATCTGCCTCTCCCGGGTCCTCACCGCCACACCTCGTTCTTGTTTCGAGTGTGTCTCCGGCATGGGAGGCAGACGCACTAACAAGGAGGCTAAAGACTGCAGC